ATAACAGAGCTCTGGATCGATCCAGAGCTTTGTTATCAGCTCCAGAGGCCTTCAGGGAAGCCTTGCCAGCCTTGCTGGCTGCAAGAGAAATGACCCAGCAAGGCAGGTGTCGGGGTGTGCAAGGCCTGGCTACAACTGTCCAAAGGTAAGTAGTAGGGCAGCTCCACCCTCCCATCCTCACCCTAGCTTAATTTTTATTTGGGCACTCTGGAGTGGGCGGGATCTTAATTAGGGCTTATTTTGGGGGGAGGGCTTATATTCGGCGCAAATTTAAAAATCAAGCTACGACTTACTTTTGGGATAGGTCCTACTTTCAGGGAAACAAGGTATTTAGAAGACATAGATAAGGACATCTGAAATTGCGGGTACCGGGTTGCTGGGGTAACCATCAGCTGTGCGTAGGATATGCAGCCTGTGTGTGGAAGCGTGAGGGAGGGTGGTGGAAATGCCCTTCGGCACCCTGATCGTGTCTTCTTTCTGCCTGGGGCAGGTGTCCTCCGTGGTATCTGGCTTTCAGTCGGCCTTCGACCTGATCAATCCCTGGGCCTTGTTCCGGTTCTCTGCAGTAAAGCAGAAGATGGGAGGACCTTCGAGAGACGGCAAGTCCTTTTCCGTTTTCTGTCCTGGGGTTGCCTGACGATGGGGGTGTCAAAACTCCATTTCATTGAGGGACGCATCAGGGTTGTGTTTGAACTCAGGGGGCCAGAGTGGGCGTGGCCAGCTCAACGTCACTCGTGTTGGGGGACGCCAGTGGAGGCCCGAGCACACAGCCAGCGAAAACAGGCTCCCAAGCTCCGTTTCTGACTGCGACGGCGTCCTGCAACCCTCTGTCAGTGAAAATGGCCACACATGGCCCTCCCAAATTCCACTTTTGCTGGCATATGAACTGCGGGCCGGTCCTTAGCTGTTTCCAGGGTGGCCTCATGGCCCAGATCAAAGCACCCCACAGCCTTGAGTTTGACACCCCTGCCTTATGACGATGACTCTTTTTTTAAAAAAATCTAGAATATAATGGAATGGGGAATATGGAATTATTTGGAATGGAATATAGCAGTGGTGTCTAACCTTTCGGGGCTCCTGTGCTGATAATTGCGTGCATGCTTGCCTGCTCGTCCTCATGGGCCATCATCCAGGAGGCAATGTGCAGGAGGTCCCCCCATGCCTCCTGCGCATGCGTGCACAACCTGCGTGATCTGCACTGTGCACTTCTGCACATGTGTTTCCTGCGCACCACCGCGCCCCTGCACATGCGCGCTACGTACCCGACAATCAGTGGGCGGTGCGCGTGCATGCGTAGTTGGCCTTTTCTGGGCGAGTGCTCACGTGCTGTCAGTAATGCCAGGCGTGCAATAGGATCGCCACCACGGCTCTAACCATTCATACCATTTATGCCAAATTGAGTAGTATTTGGAGTTCTCCATCTCTTTCATTTCTAATGTAAGCATGTCCATTTCCGCACATTCTAATATTTTGTGTAGGACTAAGTCCTCTGTGCGGGGTGTTGGGTCTGTCTTTAACCTGGTTCGCAAAACAATAATAATTCGGAAAGGCTGGTTGACTCCAAGTGTCAGCATTCCTGACCCTCATCTCACAATTTCCCACCTGACGCCAATTCCATCCCATAAGTTTGCGAAGAAAAGAGGTTTTGTTGATGTTTACCCATCAGCCTGGGTGGTTTTATTCCTCCCGCAGGTCTCCAGATCCTGGGCTTGGTGTACTTCCTGTACCTCTTCCTGTTCTCTGGCCTGGAGTACACGCTGGGTTTTCTTGTCCATCAGCACTTCCACTTCAGCAGGTATTTATCCTGCCTGCAAAGACAGGAGTCCTCTTAGCAGGCAAAAAAACAGCTTTTGGCTTTTCCTGCCAAAGGCTTCCCCAGTGACACTCTGGGGAAGCCAGCAGAGAAGAGGCCAAGATGCATGATTGCAACCAGCCGTTAAGGGCAGAGGTGACATTTCAGCCGGTTTGGATCGGTTCTGGCCTACCAGTAGTGGAAATTTTGACTAGTTCGGAGAACTGGCAAATACCACCTCTGTTTGGCTCCGCCCACCTGCCCCCCGCCATTACCTCCTATATTTCCTTGTTTATTAGCCCAGCTGATTCACACGGCAGAGCAGATTGCCGTACCTCAGCTGAGCTAAAAAACAATTCAACTTACCAGAGTTGACAGATCTGTCAACTCTGACAGAACCTTCCGCATGCACGCAAAGCGCATGTTAGGCGTGCGCACATAGAACCGGTAGGAAATAATTTGGAAACCCACCCCTGGTTGAGTGCTACGAGACTGCCAAACACAACGGATAACGATCGTATCACTGGCTTGCAAGCATTTTGCGACGGTTCCTTTGCAAGTCATAAAGCACCCCGTCGGAGGCGGTTATAACTTCAGCCGGTCATTAAGCGAGGACTACCTCTATCACTTTTGTGCTTCCTGAAGCAGGGTGACCTTTCTGGACTCCATCCGGCGGTGCCCGTCCGCTATGACCACCATTTGTGTTTTCAACTTATTTCTTTTGTGTTTCCTTGTCTTTAGCCTGGAGCAAGGCAAGATGTTTTTCTTCATTGGGGTCACTATGGCGGTGATCCAGGGAGGCTACACTCGCCGGATTACACCAGGAGCGGAACTGCGGATGGTTAAAATTGTGAGTGTCCTTTTAGCCCTTCTGATTTCGCTGTTCCGACGATGCTCAAAATGAAATCTTTTAATTCTGATGCTAAGTTTTGTGTTCCCTGCTGAGCACACTGTTCACACAGAAACACACAGGCGCCACCCAAAAGAGCACAAAACCATTTCTCAGCCAGTCCTTGCGTATTGAAGATTTGTCCTGAAATGAATACAAACTCCAGCTCCTTTGGAGTGCAATGGTGGCTTATTCATTAGATCGGCAAACAACGAATACTCTTCTCTGACAAGAAAGGCTAAGAGCCAGGCAAGGTTTGAGTTGGGTTTGAGTAGCGTTGGGTTTGAATTTGCTCCTTCATTTTATCACCATTATCGTGAGACACACCCCACCACACCCAGGCAGTTCTAGTTCTGGCCACACCTAACCCATTATCCCTAATGCTGTTAACCCTAATGCATGTCTACATCCCTAACCTATTCCGACCCTCACTAACGGATCCCCACCTGGTGCCACCTTCACCATGTTTAATCTAAGGCTTACTTATCACCTATATGTGCCCCAACTTCCTCATGCACCACATCAATACATGAAAAGAGCCATTTCCAGCCCCGCGGTTGCTTCAGAATCCATCCTGCAGCTCACAGCTCTGCTAAGTCATTCTAAAGCAACCTTCAACACCCTCGGCTAGCACACAAGCAGCAATACAGATCCAATGTCAACAGAGATAAGGCGACATTCTCCATGGCCAGCTGACTTGCTGTGAGGCGTGCTCAGAGCTGACAGGCTCCATAGCAAACTCCGAGTCCGACACCATCCATTGGTAAACGAGTCGAGCCTCTTTCTTGAAAAGATTTGCGCAGGCAGTCCTCGACTTACAGCCACAACTGAGCCTGAAATTTTTGTTGCTAAGCAAGACAGTTGCTAAGTGAATTTTGCCTCGTTTTACGACCTTACTTGCCCACCGTTAAGGTAATCGCTGCAGTTCTTTAAAAGTTTGTAACCCTGTTGTACAGGGAATCTGGTTTTTCCCCAGACTTGGCTTATCGGATAGGTCACAAAAGGGGACTGACGTGACCCTGGGATGCTCTGACTGTCGTAATTATGAGCCAGTTGAGTTTTGATCATGGGACCAAAAGCTGCAATGGGGGAAAACGGTCATCAATCACTTTCTTCAGTGCCGTTATAACCTTTGAGCGCTTACTAAGTGAGCTTTTTTTACATGGAGGACCAGCTGTATCTAAGTCGGGTATTTTAGACCTGTGGTTCACGGTCCCCTACCAGGTGCTAACTACTAACAAATGGAGTGATTTACTTAACGACTGTGGCAAAAAAGGGATGACCAATGAGGAGATTTCTGATTCCTTTGGTTTTTTTTAATTTTCCCTGGACAGGCAATCATGCTGTCAGCTCCTGGCTTCCTTTTAATCGGCTGGAGCACTAACATCATTGTCCTCAGTACAGGACTGTTGTTTTACTCTTTTGGTAAGTTTCTTGCACAAATCTTGTCAGCGGCCAATGAAAATCAGGAAAAATGTGCTATGCATCTATTAAGCTTCTTCGGCTCTAATTGGATGCCAGGGAACGGAAGGATTTACATTCCTTGCAGTCAGCTGGTCATTTGCATCCTTTTAGAGAGCCGTTGAGGCTGCTTGGAGGTTTGTCTGTGTCCTCAGGCTCACCTGAGTGGCGCAAATGGGTGTGGAGCCTTCTTGGAACTATTGAAAGTATTGTGTTATGCACTGTTCAGGTGACCCTAAGGACACAAACCAACTTCCAAGTGACCTCAGCGACCCTCTAAAAGGTTGCAAATGATCACTTGTTTGTTGGGAATACCAGATTATTGCTAGTTTTTAGGAATAGGTAATCCTAGCAAGGCCCATTTTGCTAAGCAAGACCTTTGATCAGAGCTGTCAGTAGTATTTATTAAAGGAGGACCAAAAAGAAAAAACAGAAGAGAATTATATTGTCAGAAAATGGCCCCTTGGTAGTGTCTGTGGAGATTGTCAGCACTCACTTGTGGTTGTCCCAAAAGTTCGTTTTCAGAAGGGCAACTGGACTTTGTTTTTCCTCAAAGACATTTCGCTTCTCATCCAAGAAGCTTCTTCAGTTCTTGGATGAAGAGCAAAATGTCCTTGGGAGAAAATAAAAGTCCGGTTGCTTTTTGGGAAAAGTACCTTTGGGGCATCCCTTGCTGGTAAGAAGGTTGCCTTTAACGGAAGCTGACGTGAGGTCCACTCTGAAGCCCACCTCCCTTCTGGTCACGGGAAAAAGGTCCTTCCACAAAGCATGGTCGCACGAGGGAGAACATCCCTCTTCACACTGGTGGTGGGGCGGCTTCATTTGTGCACCCGCACCCCCACAGAGATAGCTGGGGCAGCCTTACAAAAGACGCAGCTGCTTTCATGCTTTAAGGAAAGGTGTTCCTCTTGTAAACTCTTTGTACAGCACTAGTAAGAGAGAGAGAGGTTAATGGGGGAGAGAACTGCAACTGCTCTGGTTTCAACCTTGAGGAAAAGTAAGAGAACAGAGTGGAGACATGCTTAGAGTACTCCAAGGGAGGGGAGGGGCTGCTCTGGCAGGCTTGTGGTAGAGATTGTCCCAGTGGTGGGATTTGAATTTTTTTACTACCGGTTCTGTGGGCTTGGTGGGTGTGGTGTAGCTTGGTTGGCATGGCAGGGGAAGGATAGTGTAAAATCTCCATTCCTTCCCCACTCCTGGGGGAAGGTTACTGCAAAATCCCTTCCCTTCCCACCGCACTAACCTGCTTTCCAGCTCCGTTCTCCTGTGCAGGGCAACCAAAGGAGACCCAGCCAATCAGCTGGGACTCAATGGGAGGCAGAGAAGAGATGGGGTTGGCGGGGCCAGTCAGAGATGGGATTTGCCGGTTCTCTGAACTACTCATAATTTCCACTACCGGTTCTCCAGAACCAGTCAGAACCGGCTGAATACCCCACCTCTGGACTGTCCCTTGCAAAGTTGCGGAGTTGCACGCTCTCCAGTCTTAACAGCCCTCGTTTACTTCACTTGCAGCCGCAGCTGTAGTCGTCCCTTGCTTGTCTACGGTGGTATCCAGCTACGGTAAGCCAACAGCCTTCGGGCGTCACATTTTATGGCCTTCAGATGCCACATTTCTGGCTCTGGAGCTGAACGGCATAGCTGCTATGCTCCAGGTCTTGCATTCACTGGAATGAGCAGCCCGTGGGGTGACCTCTGTCCATCTCTTTGCATTCAGGCATTTCCGCAAACACAAGAGAAAAAAAAGGGGCTACTTAGAGCAGGGAGTCCCCAATCTCTGGCCTGCAGGCTGTGGTCGGTTTGTCACCGGGCCCCACAAGTGGCAAGCAGGGGTGCACACACTGCTCAACTTGCACAAGTGGTGGGCCGCTTCCCTCTCCCTCCCCCTGCCGGGCTGTCAAGCTGTCAAGGTTAGCACTTTCCTTAAAAGCTGCTTCTGATCTTTGCGTTAGAAATTTCACAGCAGTTTGAGAATCAAGCTCAGAGAGCACCAAGGACACCTCCTCCTCCTCCTCTCCACAAATCTCACCCCCTTCTAGCACTGATGATGTTACCTAGCTGGGTCATGAGACGTCTGCAAGAAAACCAGCAAGCTCAGAGAGCCGCAAGGACTCCTCATGTCGACCCTGAGCTGCAAATATTCTCCTTTATTAAAATGGCAAAACCTAGTGAGGAAACTAGCCTGAAGCTCTTCTCTGTTTTTTCTCCCGCTAGGGCTGGATAGCCAAAAAGGGGTTGTGATGGGCATCCTGAGAAGTTTGGGCGCCCTTGCGAGGGCTCTTGGGCCGGTGGCATCGGCAACAGGTAACTGGCAAGGGAGGAAGTGCCCGTCACTCGGGAAGAGGAGGTGGTTGGTGGCAGTTTCCAAAGGTCAAAGTTACTGGCCGGTGGTGGGGTTCAAAAACTTTTCCTACCGATTTGGTGTGAGCATGTGCTTTGCAATTCACCTTCGGCTGCAAGCCCCGTGTGTAAAACGGCTGACGTGCGACAGTCGGTTGTGCCGTGCAAAGCAGCTGAGGTTGAAAAGCAGGAAATAAAGGTAAGAGTAGGCCCCGGGGGGAAAGGGGGGAATGGGCCCAGCAGCTCATCGTCGGAGCGAAACCGGGTTTGCTCACAGATGATCCTTGGAGCTACCGGTTCAACCAAACCAAGCCGAACCGGTAGAATACCACCACCGTTACTAGCCAAATGAAGCACAACTCTCCCCATTATCATACTCCTCATTGGGGGGGGGGGCTCCATTGGGTCTGCTCCTGGCACCTCTGGGGAAATTTGCTCCTTAAAACTGGTTTTTGGGCTTGCAGTGTACTGGCTGGCCGGAGCTGAAGTTTGTTTCACCGCTTGTGCCTCTTTGTTCCTGCTGCCCTTTGTCCTGCTTCGGTGCATGCCGAAACAAAGCAAACAGGAGTAAACTACTTGGATGGCAGTTTCCCTGGAAACTCAAGAATTCAACTCCAATTCAAGAAACCGAGTTGATCCTTGGATGACCAAACCGGGGCCATCGGTGTATTTTTCACAGCAGCCTTCCACCGTCTTTTGCCTGCATTTGAGCCGAGGTCCTTCTGCCTTCTGATCTGGCTCTTCCCATGGGAGTGTGTGTAAGTGTGTGTGTGTGTATGCCAGGGTGTGAGTAATGACCCATGAAAACGAGCCTTAGGACAAAGCTGCCCTCCTACAAATAGGAGGGTGAAGATGCTCAATCCATCATGAACAAAGCCGCCGGCAACCAAAGTCCTCTTCCTTCCAGCTGGAAAGACCTGCGAATTCCCTCATTCAAAGCAGGACGTTCACACACACGCACACCTTTACGGGTTGGCCCGCAAGGTCTTTGTAATGAGGCCGTGAGACCCAAACAATGTCATGTTTGGGGACTTAACCTTGGATTTGGCATCTCTTAAGTTTCAGGTGAAGGTTGTCGCTGCCTGCATCTCAATAGGCTCTCCCCATTTGCCTTCACCTAGACTGGTGCTCTTTCTCCGTGCCCTTGGGCCTCTTCCCTCTTCCCTCCAGCGTCCTTGTGCCCCTTTTCGTGTCCTTGTGCCTCTTTCTTTGTGTCTTTGTGCCTCTTTCTTTTTGTCCTGGTGCCTCTTCCCTTTTTTCTTCAGCGTCCTTGTGCCTCTTTTCTGTGTCCTTGTGCCTTGTTTTTTTTTTTTTGTCCTTGTGCCTCTTTTGTGCCTTTGTGCCGCTTCCCTTTTTTCGTGTCCTGGCGCCTCTTCCCTTTTGTCTTCCTGTCCTTGTGCTTCTTCCCTTTTCGCCTCCCGAACTTCATTCTTTTAATTACGACTTCATTCCCTCCCACCCACGCCCCCCCTTTTTTTTGCTTCCTGAGTACACAAACCCAGCGAAAGCCCTTTCCTACATGGATTCATTCTGAGATCGTAATTACATAAACTAAAAAACCCATAGGATCTCTCACTCTCTTGTCCTACAATGCCGGTTCAGCGGTGGAAGAGGGACCTAAATTACAGGAAGGCAGTTTTCCGTTGAACATTAGGGAAACATGAGGCGGATAAGGGAAGGGTCTGAATGGAACCAGTGGCCAACGAGGTTGAGGGGCTGGTGGAGAGGCTCTCGTCTACATTTCTGTAAGAATCGATGGTCCGGCACCATGCGCGGGTGACCAAAGTGCTCGCATCAAAATAGTTTTCAATATTTTTGTTCCCGAGAGAGACTTGGATTGGAGGAAGAGACCACACCAAATGCACCACGCCAGAGGCACTTCTGTCAAGTTCTACCTTGGCTCTTATTTCTGTATTTCACTAAGTGTCTTACCACAGCCAAGTCCCTTTTGATGGACTTCTGAGACATTTTGAATTGTAAAACGATGATGGGTATATGTCTAATGATCCTTTCTTTTGTATTACCGAAATGGCCAATGTAGTATTTTGTACACAGCGTTAAAAACGTGCATGAAGATGACTATTTTCTTTTTTCCATACAATAAAACAAAATTTATGTTTTCGGCAGAGCTTCCTTTTAAGCATGGTACAGAATAGAAGATATGGTCTCCGCCAGAGTCCCGCGAGAGGTTGGTACTCAGCTTTTTAAGAGTCATCCAAGGTTGGCTTGGAACGAGGGGGAGTGATTTCTGGTCCTGTCTCCCCATTATGTCAAGGAGAAGAAAAAAAAGGGTTGGGGTCATTCACAGATTTCAGAAGCAGGCTTCATTCCCTCGCTGGATTTCTGAACCGGGTTGTGGACCAGTCCCTGGTGCTGGGATTGGCACCCAGATCGGTCCTTGGTGCAACCTAGGAGGAGGAAGACCCGCATAAATGAAGGGAACCAGTCTGCTGCCTGCTAGGAATACATTTTATTTTCCAACGATGTGAACTTATCTTTCATCGGTATTAAGTGACTTGAGTACAATGCTTTGCTAGAAAACAAATTAGTAAAATAGCTGATTATTCTGTGGAAAAAGGCTATTATTAAACTGAATAGAAAACAGGCAGGGAGGGGGAGGGGGGATGAGCAAGAAAATGCCACAAGTTACTTCATTCTTAAGACACAAAAATAGGCTCCAGTCTCAGCGATGTTACGACACCAAGCAAGGCAGAAAGCGGCCGTGAAGCCTCGGGGCACGGCAGAGGAAGCGGCTGCAAGAGGGGCCCCTTCCCCTGCACACAAATGGGCTCCGCTCCGCCAGCCGGACGCAAAGCCACCTGCACCAGAGCAGACTTAGGAGTGAGCAGAGCGCGTTGCCTTCACATTGGAAGCCGGGAGGAAAGGGAGAGGGAGGGAGGGAGCAGGGAGAGAACTTCAACGTTTCACCAAGGGGCTCTCCCACCAGGGAAAGCCTCTCTTCCTTCACATGCTCAGGATGCTCCCCGGTTTTTTTGGGGGGTGGGGTGGGGGGGTTTGCGCACACAGAATCATCACCTTCTGCTTGGCTAAATTCCAGTTATAAACTCAAAAAAAAAAACAGTCAAGCTATAGTGTTATTTGTCCCTTTTTCTTTTTTTAAACAAGAAAGACCAAACAGAAAGCACAGGGTAGCATCTGATATATTCCGGGGATTAACAAAGGGGAGAGGCATAAAGACCCGGCCTTCCCTTTGGGGTCTTCAGGAGTCGCTCTTCTTCTTGCTCTTCTTGAGGAAGGACGGGGTGCGGAACTTCTTCTTCTTTTTAGAGGGAGACTTCCCCGGAGACTCCTCGCTGCCGGCTTCGGCGGCTGCCCCCTCCTCGGCCAGGGGAGAAGGGGGAGGCTCTCCGCTCGGGGAGGGGTAAGGCTGGGGGCTCTCGGGAGGATCCTCCTTCTGGGGGACGGCAAGGTCGGGGTCTTCTTCTTCCTCCTCCGTCCCAAAGACTTCTTCGGAAGGCTGGTCGGGAGCGGTGAGGTCTGGGAGGCTTGGCTGGGAGGGGGCCGCTTCGCTGCTGTTGGCGCCGCTGCCTTCGTGGCCCGTCTGGACAGGCGGACATTCTGGGGGAGAAACGACAGGAGAGGCAGGTGAAGAGGGGGTTTTCTTTGCACCTTTGGGCCTTCCTGAACCGGCCTCTGGGGATCAATCCCGGGCAGACCCGTTCCATCTACGTGGCCCGGAATAGAGAAGCCGGCCAGGTTCTCCTTATTTATAAGTAACTTGAGCCTTCTCCTCTCAGAGGGGCCTCGGTTTGCTAGACAAAGCAGCACTGCCGAGTTGACAACAATTCGCTGTGGCCAACTCGCTGCGGGACGAGTAACATCAGTATCCAAAGAAATAGTGGAACAGAATCATTAAAGAAAGAATGCAAGAGGGAGGGACCGAATGAAGTGTAAAGAGCCAACATTCTTAATTAAATAAATAATTAAATTATTATTATAAATTATTATTAATTAAATTAAATAAATAGAATTGTTCGATTGTCTCGTGGCGAGTTGGCTGCAGGGAGTTGACCAGTTCCACCACCACGAGCCTAAAATGCATGCAAACAACCCCAAAAGGGTCGGTGCTCCCAATTTTTTTTTGGGGGGGGCTCCTGCTTGTTTGAGGGACTTTCCTGGCTGCGGGGAAAGGGACGAGGTGGGGGGTGGTGGCTGATGTTAAGCTCAAGGTGTTAACCCAGCCGCCTTCCGGGTGGAAACGTGGAGAATCGCATGGCGGTTTCCTTGTCCAGGGGGACGGCCGCTCTCCGAGTACGCTCAAGATAACGGGAGGTTTCGGGGTCAGCTCCGTGGTACCTGGCACCCTGGTTGATGGCACCAATTTCCACCCCTGGAAGAGGTGCATTTCTAGAATGGTTCAAGGGGAGGGGTTGGCCCTGGCAGACCCTAAGCTTGACGCTCTACAGCTCGGAGGACTAGAAATACGAGCATCACTGACAGAGCAAAAAAGAAATGTCAAGGACCTCTCAAGAGCCCCCAGACTGTGGAGTTCACAAGCATAGGCCGAAGTTGGCCTTCAGCATCACCCAGAGGTTCTGCCAGGTCTGAGGGAAGAGCTCGTGGAGATCAAAGACCTGGGAGGCTGCTGCTGGAGCTCCCAATCTCCATTTCTTTTGGGGAACCCGAGGGACTTATTATGCCAAATGTTCGGAATAATCCTCGACAGTCACCAACTACCTTCCCCGGTTTTGGTGGATTAGGGAACGGCAAAGTTGTGGGCGCAGTTTAGTTCTTTCAGGGGCTTGTGAAAATCCTCCCCCCCTCGCTCTGAATCAGCAACGGTGGTTTCAACAGGTAGGCCTTTCTCAGACAGGTGCGTGCACACCTCTCTCCTTCTGTTCTTATAAAACAGAGGTGGGCAACTACGGCCCCTTTACCAGCAGTGGACTTCAACTCCCAGAATTCCTGAGCCAGCCATGGGAGCTCTAGGAGTTCCAGGGCCGAGAAGGGGAAAGAGCCCCCGGGGCAGGGGAGGGTGGGTGGGGAAACATCCTCCGGGCTGGCCCTTGAAGTCAGCTCTTGATGTGCAAAGGGGGAAGTGAAGGTCCAGACCTTTTGGCCTTTTTGCTTAGATCAGGGGTCTGCAACCTGTGGCTCTGGAGCCACATGCGGCTCTTTGGGCACTCTGTTGCGGCTCCCTGTTAGCTGATCCCACCACTGGCTGGCCCCTTCCCTCCCTGTCACTCCTCGCCTGGCCTGAGAAAGTAAGGGTGATGGCGGGGGATGGAGACTCTGCTCCGTATTCCAGAGCAGGAGGTGACTGGGTGGGAGTGACATTGAGTTGTCCACGCCCACCCACTCACACCAGTTGTGAAATTATTGGCTCCTGGTGTTTTCTGTGGGAAATGGGCCCAAATGGCTCTTTGAGTGTTGAAGATTGCAGACCCCTAGCTTAGGTGAAATGAGAGAGAGAGAAAAAAAAGGATTGGGGTGCCTGAGCGCGTCCTGATGACCAAGTCAGGTGCGGGGTGGATCATCTCCCCCAGCCAGACACCTGAGCGGTCAACAAGGAAGAGTAACGGAACAGCTCGTGATCCATTTGATCAAAGCAACAGAAACCAGGGTGCTTATACTGTTCGCTCTGTTAAGACATTTCCTGGTTTTCCTGCCAGGAAAAAGGCCATTCTTCACCATCTTGCGATCCCAAGAGGAAAGACACACGTTCAGCAGAAGAAGAAGAAGAAGAAGAAAAAGGGTTTAGCACATTCTGGAAAGATTCCAGGTTACGCTGGTTTTAAGTACATGGCATTATTTAAAACATGAGTGAATCTGGAGATGGGAAGATCTAGCCAGATTTATGTTTTCTTAGAATCGTCATCGAATTTAGGGGATTTAGTAGAGATTTACCATTCTGTGGGATAATTTGGTATTCAAACAATTCTGCGCATTGTGTATTTTCATTTCAAGTTTAGAATTGGTTAGGTTATAATGACGTCAAACTCAGCAAACCGAAAACCGTTAGAAGTTTAAAACAAAAAAACTTTCGTTAGGTAATTTAAAAAGCGGAGTGAAAGGATAAAAGCCATTTTGGGCAAATTAAAAGCTCAATTAGCTTTGCTGAAAAATTCTTCGCAAGTCCCCTTTTGAACTCCTTTCCTGTTTTCAAGTTTTCTTTTTTTTTTTTTAGTGCTCTGGACAGAAAAACAGCCACTTTCTTAAATTGGGATATAAAACGCCTGGTGGCAAGGCTATGGAAAACACCCAAAAATTACTTTGTAAACCATCCTCTGGCTTGTTAGATTATACCTGAAGGGATGTTCTGTCTCTAAATGGAGAGCCTTCAGAAGAAAAAATAGCACCTACTGAATTGCCCAGTGCTAATATGCATTTCTTCGTAACTCACATGAAATAAGTAGCCATTCTGATAGTTTTAAAAATATAGCTAAAGGATGGCGTGTTTCCATTTTGTATAAATTGTGGCGAGTTTTGCCATCGTACACATAGATAATCCTCTAAGTTACAATGGTCATATGTTAAAGACCAGAGAAACGCAGGTATCTGGTTTCTTTACTTGAAGCATCATTTGAGATGGACCTGATGCCCAGGAGGAAGGTGGCCCATGTCCTTCTGGGCAGAGGACATGGGCCACTTGTAAAAAAGAGAAGTGAATATATGCCTGTTTAGTATGTTGGTATTTCTATCCTACGGAAGTTCCCAAGGTTCAGAGATTATTGTTATTGTCAACTCGTAAAGCAGTCCTATGCTCATTTTAGAGTTGCCATAAATGGGGTGGGGGTGGGGAGGAAATCTGAAGGAGAAGGGTGGCAGTTTAAAACCAGAAGTACATTCCAACACTTATCTTACAAAGATTGTAGCTAAGCTACCGGATCTTCTGCCTGAGAAAATACTTCATTGGAGAACGTGATCGATGACATGCAGCCCGTGAACGTGCTTCATTGGAGAATCTGATTTATGACACACTCAGAAGGAAGGGGGGAAATAGGGTCACAGGTAACTGTAAATTACGTAGGCCAGAGTTGCCTTCGTTGAGGTTAATGCCAGACATGTTGCTCCTAATAAATCTTTTGGTTTCTTTTGAAGCGTGGCGCGAAGCTCAAGGTTTAATTAGGGCAATCACTGGATTCCTGACAGCTGTGTTGCAAGAAGCATGACCTCCCCTAGCCAATGCCTTCCTTCCCTCTGAGGAAAGGGTTTTGTCTTCCCTGATGAAGTGGATTACAGTGCCAAGAAGATCCAACCACGGTTACACGCATCTAATCTGCAGCCCAAATTAGATGCGCCTCTGATCTGTTGAAAGCTGGCCGAGGGGATGAAAGAATTAAGCAAACTCCAAAATGAAAAAAGAAAAAAAAAAGTATGCCAAGCACCTGACGGATCAAATCCACACCAGGAGGGAGACGTAGGGAAAGAAAAAAAGGGCAAAAAATAATAGCAATAATAAAATAAAATAAAATAAAAAAAGATCGTAACAAGGAAGCAAAGCGGAGAAAAAAAAAACTAGGTAGGGCAAAAGCAGGAAGGAACTCCGTAGTACTTACTATGGCAACAGGTACTCTTTAGCACATCCACCTCCTGTTTGTAAGGCAGCCACAGGAAGAAGGAAGGAAAAAAAAAGAAAAGAAAGCACAAAGAGAAAGTCTATGCATCCATCACAGCCACTGAGTCGGAGAAAAAGAACGGCTATGGCCATTCTTAAGAGGTTACAGAATGAAATGGGGGGGCAGGGGGGGGAGGGCACACAGATAATATCATCACAGATGGCGGGCAATACCCAGGGGACGAAGAAGACAAGGGACACTGGCTGCTGGTACAAGGTCACCAAGCCACAAAATGTCACTGAAAGATGTCTCTGGCCTTGGGGTCCCTGAACAGAGACATCTTTCTAAAATCATACACCAAAATGGGGAGACCCAATCACAGCAACACTTAAGGAAGATGAAACCCGGGTGCTGACTCCTCCTCTCTCCTCTCTCCCATCCTGCACTCCCGACTCTCTGCTGGGCTTGGTGGGAAGAAGCATCCTCAGGATGAAGGCAAAGCCTCCGATGAGGAAGGCTGCCGGAACACGGGACCGAGCAGTTCGTGTCCCAGGAAATGGGGGTGGAGGGAAGAGGGCCAGCTCTGGGCTGCTGGCTCCTATTTAGTTGATTGTCCACTAAGACTCCAAGATCCCTCTCACAGTTACTGCTATTGAGCCTGGTTTCACCCAGTCTGTATGCGTTCTTTTGGTTTTTCTTGCCTAAGTGTAGGACTTGACTTTTCTCTACGTTGAATTTCGTTTTGTTAAGCTCCATCAAAGTGAGGGGGGAGGGGGAAAGGGGGGAAAACGGCCTCCGAGCGAAGTCGGTAGGCTTGGAGCCAATTCTTCTCTCCCAGTTCAAGGAGGACGGATCAGGCTGGGTAACTTACGGATCGGACGTAAAAGGGGGAGCTTCAAAGCTACTGGATTTGTCAGAGGGAGCGGGGAAGCTTTTGGAGAAAGCTACGATTGCTGTTCCCGGCCACTGAAACGTGGAAGTGGGAGTGAATGTTTCTGCCGAGACCTTCCGGAGGGGTGAGTTCCTTGGAAAATCGTGCCCGGGGAGCTCCCTTCGGCTCCACCTCCTTTGGAGGAAGTGTGGATGGAAACGCAACGCCTCAGATGCAAACCTCGCAACACACGTACCTTCCTCGAGTTTGACCGGAGTGCTGGGTGGGGTGGAAGCAATAGTTTGGTCCGGAGAGCTCCTGTCTCCCTGCTGTCTGCCGTCTTCACAATCTTCTACACAAAACAGAAGTACAATCGAATTCTTTTAAAACAGACAAACAAACAAACAAACAAACCCACAAGCCAACTTGCTCAGCGAGACCATCTGTTAAAGTGAATTTCTCCCCATTTTACAACCTTTCTTGATTCAGCCGCTAAGTGAATCATGGCAGTTCATTCCGTTGTGGCAAGAAAAGTCGTTAAATGGAGCAAACCTCACTTAGCAATAGAAATGTTGGGCTCAAAACTGTGGTCGTTACGTTGAGGCCTGCCTGTGACTGCAACCATTTCTCTCCTTTGCAAACGTGGTGTCAACAGCACCCCTTCTCGTTCACGCTGAGCAGGAAAATAGAAAGCTTGTGGAAACAAGTGCAATGATGCAAAGAAATAATAGCGGCAGCCCCGTGGTTCCCCTTCTGGGCTGTAAGTCAGAGAGAGGACGATGGTGTGGTTAGACAAAACACATGGCATGGATTCGCAGGTGCCATGAGCACCGGCCCATGGGAAACTCTGGAAGCGATTCCACGTTATGCCAACAAGATTTGCCCCTTCGGCCAGGTGCAAATGAGCCAGGGTGGCGCAGTGGTTAGTGTGTGGTACTGCAGGCTACTTCTGCTGACTGCCGGCTGACTGCAGTTCAAATGTCACCAGGCTCAAAGGTCAACTCAGCCTTCCGTCCTTCCGAGGTCGGTCAAATGAGGACCCAGATTGTTGGGGGCAAGAGGCTGACTTTATAAACCATGTAGAGAGGGCTGGAAAGTGGGATTGTATGTCTATAGCTAAGGGTCTCTTCCTCCCTCTCCTTCCTTCTATTTCATCTTCCTCCTGACTTCCCTTCACTTTAATTTTCCTTCCTTCCTCCCTCCCTCCTCTGGTGGCGCAGGGGTTAGAATGCGGTATAGCAGGCTGACTCTGCCCACTGCCAGCAGTTCGATCCTGACTGGCTCAAAGGTCGACTCAGCCTCCCGTCCTTACGAGGTCGGTAAATGAGAACCCAGATTGTTTTTTTTGGGTGGGGGGAAGAGGCCGACTCTGTGAACTGTTTAGAGGGCTGTAAAAGCACTGTGAAGCGGTATATAAGTCTAAGTGCTACGGCTATTGCAACGGGATCACAGGTGCCCAGTTGATGCTACGCACAAACCTTCCGACTGCCTCTGTTTCCTTTCGACTTCTCGGCGATACTCCTCCAGTTCTTGGTCCGTGAGTTTGTGGAAAGGGTTGGGTCCAGTGGTGCTGATGATGACACGGGGCTGGTACTCCTTCTCAATGATGGCCTTGGAGGCGGTCACCAGCTCCCCCTAAATCAGAAGAAGAGACAGCTCCCTCACCACCTGAGGTACAGAGATTGGAGGCACTGGGGGAGTGGGGGTAGCAAAGCACTCAATGCTAATGAAGCAATGTCCCTGAACAGTTTAATTTGGAACCTGAGCGCTGCCCTGCTGATCTTGCACTGGGAATCTGTTGTGGCCTCCAGCAGCCAAATCAGAGAAGGCGGTGGCGTGGGAGTAGTCAGGGCCGGCATCAAGGCAACCCGAGAGCTCCGAGGGGGAAGAGGGAATGGAGCTGGCAGAGAGAGAGAGGCAGAGCCTGGGCCATCCATAAGCCCTCAGATGGAGTGTCAACAGCCCCCAGGTCTGGAGGTGGCTGATGAGGTAGAGGAGGAACAGCTGGGTCCAGTGCCTGACACGGATGTGTGGAAGGCAGAGAAGAGGAGAGGAGAGAGCAGCGGGAATCTATGGGCCGGTCCTTGGGACAGAAGAACCACCGCTGCTTAGCGAAGCCTCACCCTAGCTCTGGAGATAAAAGGCGGGGGCGGGGGGGATGGGGCATAGATGAATAGGTGTGGCAGACAGCTATTCATTTCCCTGCCGGTCAGCCACTTGTTAGTCTGCTGGGAGGGACAGAGAAAGAGAGAAAGAGAGAGAGAGTTTATGCCGGGGCTGCTGGCATTCCTAATTAAGGGAACATTGAGTTAAACGCAGAGGGCTTGTCGTGTTTGGGAGCCCGGTCAGGACAGAATCTAACACAGGCAATTTTTAAAGAAAAACAAAACAAGGTTCATTAAATTGTTACAAACTAGCAAATAGCTTTCTGATTAAACTGCACGATAAATATTGCGAATAAATCACCAAATCAACTGACTGGATAAATACAAGAGTGCTTTTGCTGGCTGGCCACTTAAGTGGGGTAACAAGCACTCTGGACAACAATGGAAAGAGATTCCGCTAGTAATCGCGACTGCTCAAACCAATTCAAAATTGGTAGAGAGGTAAAAGAGCTAAGTCTAAATTCAAGCTTTGTATCTGTAAAGGTCAGGGCCTATTATTCTGTCCCGTCCAATTTCTGCAAGAATAAAGTCAAATTGAAAATGTAAACTTGCATCTATTAACAACTCCCTTGCCGTTTGTATGCGGTGCTGTAAATATATTGGAAGGGATGTTGGAAGGACCTTGGGAGATATGGTTGGAGAGATGCCGCCTGGATACCAGTCAGATAAGAGACAGCAGAGCCTGCAGCCACATAGTGGATGAAGCAGCTCAGGAGGGACCTTGCCACACTTCCCAAGGATAACTGATGTCAACTTTACCAGGTTGGAAACCAGAGCAGATAAACCACTTCTAGTTCATCGTACAGTCCGTCTCCCAAGGTCTTTCCTGCATGCCGTTAGCTATATGAAGTAACATTTAGAATCACAGTTCTCCTACTGAGATCCTATCAGGAACTCTCTCATGATGTCCTCCCGATGCGACAGATCTCAAACACACAACGACAATTCCTTGGGTGTTTTTGGACACTGGCCAGAGTTTTGGAGGAAGGCTCACATATAATTTATACCAGGGCTGTTCAGGGAGGGAACAACAACTACATTTCAATTTCAAGCCAGGTGAAAGGGATAATACCAAAGCCGTTTTATAGTGGGGAATGTAGTCTGGTTGTGGGGAGCTGAGCATCCCCTGATCCCAGTGGCAAAGGCCTGGCTAAGACTGTCCCCCAAAACAAAAGCTGGTTTACCAAGAATCTTCTCCGAAGGGCTAAGAAATGGAAAGGGAGACAAGAGAAAAGCAAGAGAAAAGGGGGAGAGTGAAGGGTTATGAATAAGGTGATAAGGCCCAATAGAAAAGGCAGAAGGAAAAATAAACTATCTTGCCACTGTCAAAAGCCTGAGGAACAGTGGTGGTATGCTACCGGTTTCGACTGGTTTGAGTGAACCGGTAGCAAAAAAAAGAAAAAAGAAAAGCCGATGATCAGCTGAGAGGAAGAAAAAACTCCCCCAACAATCAGCTGAGAGGAAAAAGAAGGGAAAATTGCAGGATTGGCCCTCCCACCTGCCCTTGAGCTTTTCTCTTCTTTATCCTCTCAGCTGACTGGCACTGCAGGTCTCAGCTAGTATAGGGAAAGCTGCGCACCGGCGTTAGGCAAAGCACTCCCACCAAGCCGGTGATAAAACCATTTGAATCCCACCACTGCTGAGGAACCAAGATTGGTGTGGGCGTTCTGCCAAGAACTGGAGAAGCAACACACACACACACAAACACACACACACCCTCTAGAGAAACATCTCTAAACCCATCAGAGACTCTATGATCAGATGATGAGTTTGGGTAACTTTGCCATGGAAGGTGACCAGAAATTCACACAAGTCCTACCGATACTGGGTCACAGATTGTCCCCAAACACTTGCTTTCTTCATCTGCTCCTGTGGTCCTACTTGGACCTCTGAGACGAATCCTTCAGCCTCACCTCAGCCAATGGACAGATCGCGTGATCATCTACTACGGGCATCTCTGATACAAAGCGGGATTTACTCTTCCTTTGACGATGTGGTAAGGCCGTTCAGGCCCTGAACGCCCTCCGTGTTCGTGCTTCATTGCACAAAGCACTTACGGTGGAACGCAGCATGTGGTTTCCATTATGCTCAACCACAGCCCAACAGATCCATTTCGATCTGCTGATAGCTTTTGGCAGAAGGTACAGGCAGACCTTGGCTTAACCACTCCAATTTACAACATTGAAAAAGTGACATGACTATTTGTCACATTTATGACCATGGCAGCATCCCCATGGTCACGTGGTTTACATTAACTGATTCATATTTATGACGGTTGTAATGTTCCAGGGTTGCGTGATCCCCTTTTGCGACCTTCTGATGAGGAAAGTCAACGGGGAAGCCAGATTCACCTAACAACCGGGTTAATAATTTAACAACTGCAGCGATTCAAATTTTGGGCACAATTGTGGTCGTAAGACGAGGACTACCTGTAATGACCATCTCTCCGAGTTCTTCTTAGTGAATGATGGTTTCTACCATCAGTTCTTTTCTGATGGCGGGAATCAGAAACAATGACTTTAACCCAGGTGAGAGAGCTTTATGGATCCTACACATTATTCATGTCGGTGACTTCCGAATAATTTCATGTTGTGCCATGCAAGGATTTTGAGGGGAAGTTTCCCCATCCAGAAGCTTCTCAAGTTATCAGTCAACTAACAAAAATGTCTTTCCTCTTCCCTCCTATCTACAGACCCCTCACATCCTGGACATAAATTGTTTCAACTTCTACCTTCAAATTGACACTACAGGGCTCTGAACACCAGAACTAGACACAAGGACAGTTTTTCCCCGAACACCATCACTCTGCTAAACAACTAATTCCCACAACACTGTCCAACTATGTACTAAGACTGTATTACTATTCTTCTTATCGTTCCTATTATCTCTTCCAACTTTTCCCCATGTTGCTTGTATCTTTACAATTTATAGTTGTATTCGTTCCCTAGTATGATTTGATTGCTGATTAGTAACCTATGACTATCACTAAGTGTTGTATCTTATGATTCTTGATGAATGTATTTTTTTTCCTTCATGTACACTGAGAGCATATGTACCAAAGACCAATTCCTTGTGTGTCCAATCACACTTGGCCAATAAAGAATTCTATTCTATTCTCTGCTGCACTTCCATTTGCTGTTCCTGTCCATTTACCCGGATAATATTGGCCTCTGAAGCTGCCTCAGCTAGGATAGCAACTAGAATAACAGAATAATAGAGTTGGAAGGGACCTTGGAGGTCTTCTAGTCTAACTCCTTGCTCAGGTAGGAAATACTTATGTCTTGTCAGACAAATCGTTGTCCAATTTTTTTCTTAAAAAACCTCACAATGTTGGAGCATTCACAACTTCTGGAGGCAAGTCGTTCCACAGATTAATTGTTCTCACTGTCAGGAAATTCCTCCTTAGTTCTAGGTTGCTTCTCTCCTTGATTTAGTTTCCATCCTTATTGCTTCTTGTCCTGCCTTCAGGTGCTTTGGAGAATAAGCTGACCCCCTCTTCTTCTTTGTGGCAGCCCCTCAAATGCTGGAAAACTGCTATCATGTCATCCCTAACCCTTCTTTTCATTAAACTAGACATAGCCAATTCCAGAAGCAGCTGATCAGAAACAACCCAAGCTTGCAGTCCCTTCTCCTCTTCCTCTTCCTTCTTGGGGGAACTCCCTTGCCCAGAGCATCCATCTTAGCATCCTTGTCAAGGTGCCAAATGCAGGTTGAGCAAAATGGCTACTGCCTCGTTTCCCAGCGCTCAAAACCTCACAAGGAGCAACTGTCCATAGCGCTTGTGGGAAATTCCCATCCTCGTTTTTTGTCCAGAGAAGTTGAAAGCACCGGTCTGTTCACCAGTTTTTCATCACGGCTGTTGCCTTCAGTTTTTGTGGAGCTGTCTTCAGTCCACCATTTTTCTGTGGAACCCAACTTTGAATGAATCAGATCTTAGCCAACCTCAGTCAAGGCATTATGGATCTTCCATAGCCAAAATGCTAGGGAGCTGCGTGGCCCTTTCACGCTGTACGCAATCTACATTTTGGGGGGCGGGGGAAGAGAATCACTGCACTGATTATAAAGGATCTCTTCATAACTTTTGGGGGTAGATGACCAAAAGGTGATTCCGAGGACTTTTGCAAGTCACAGGATTTGGGGCAGCAAAGGTGAACTTATTCACATAACTGTGAAACTCTGCAGGATCAGGCTGTTTGGATCCCACTCCCTAGAGTCTATCATCCACCAATAACGAAGCCTCAAGATGCAGTCTTGGTCATCTTCTGTTACTTCATTTATAAAGGAAACCTCTCTCTATCTGTGCATGGAAACATGGGTTGGTTTGGCAGGTAATAAAAAGACTTCGGGTAACCACAAATGTAGCCAGAGATCCATTAACACACAGTTCTGCTTTCGGGTGTCAACCAGGATTATTCCTGGTTAAATCTGTGGCTCTTTGAGGGATTACACTGGCTAAACCAGGGATCGCCAACCGTTTGGACCTCAGGGACCATCGAACTCATAATTTTAAATCCCATGGACCACTAATATGAATTTTGACTGACGGTGGCTTGATGATGTTGGTGGCAAAGTCGGTCCCATGTTCCAGAGCTGCAGGAATCACAAGACTGGCCCTTTGGTCATCCTGGAGCAGCTGCTCCTCCACCCGGGTGCACCGGCCTGCCATGGACTTGTGGAGCTGCTCCAGGGTGACCAAAGGGCCAGTCTTGTCACTCCTGCAGCTCTGGAATAGGGGACCAACTTTCCCACCAACATCAGCAAGCCACCCTGGGGCGGATTTCCCTCCCCCGCTGTTGGTCTCACCTTCCAGTTCCAGCTCATGTGGCTCTACTCCAGGTAAGGTTTGCGCTCGGCCAAAGGGTGGGGGCCAGCGGGTGGGCGGCGCAGCCTTGTGTTCCCGCACAGCCTGGATTAATTGCTTTGAGGGGGACATTTCTCTGAGGACCACTAAAATTTTCTCACAGCCCACCAGTGGTCCCTGGCCCACCAGTTGGTGACCACCGGACTAAACCATGTTTAAAAGGGAATTACTCAAAGAATATTTGAAGCTAGCGGTCCCACACCTTTACGGCTTGATGGCCCGGCAAGGGAGGGCAGGAGGAGGGGAACCACTTCTCGTGCAAGTCGAGCTGAGCGCGTGCACACCTCAGCCCTCCGCTAGCACAAGTTGAGATGCACACGTGTGCGCAGGCCAGCCACTCCTACGGCCCGGTTCCAAGTGGGCCATGGACCCATAGTGGGCCGTTTCCTGGGGGACTGGGGACTCCCCTTATAAGCCTCAAGAGATCCTACTTGACATCAAAGCCGCACCTGAGGTGTGGATCCCTTTGTACCCCCAAGCAAGAGAAACGATAAACCAGGGTATAAAAAGGAGGTTAAAAGCGAAAGAGCATTGAGAGTGGAAAGGACAGAGCGGTCAGTACCTTTCTAACAGAGACAGATTTAGCTGGACTAAAGGCCTGCTCTGTGGGGTCGAGCCCTTCAATTGTTTCCGTACAGTCTGAGAGGGGAGCATCCTGAAACAGGAAATTGAGTAGACAGAGCAAACCAAAACCCGGGCTTAGATTATCGGCTCAAAGCATTATGACATGGCCTTAAAAAAAAAAAAAAAAAACCAACACCATGCAGAAACACATTCAGAATGTCGACGAATACGCAAGCAGCGGCCAAGGAAGCGCATGCTGAGCAACCCTGAATTCTGCCTTAGAGATAACCTGGCGCTCTCGATATTTAAGCCACTAAGAAAGTTCACCTGGACATAACCTGCATCTCTTTTAGTGTGGGTTTATTGGAGGTTATGTGACGGATTTTGGGTTTTGGAGGAGGTTAACAGGTTGTTGTTGTTGTTGTTGAACCGCCCCACCAAACTTAATACACCTGTTTCAGTGAAGGTGTCCCTCCCTGCAGGGCAATGAGAATGCAGGAACGCCACACAGCCTACCTGGTGCCCTGTGACCGGCACACCGCTAAGAGAGCGGCCTCCCACGTTGTGGCTGAACCCTCCGTGGGGTGGTAAAGACGGCACCTGCTTGCCCCTCGCACTTACCTGACCAAGAGTTGCTCTCTGCGTCAACTCGTAAAACATTCCTATGCTTTTTTTCAAGTTGCCGTAAGCAGGAGGGGAGGGGGGAGGAAGCCTGAAGGAGCAGATCGGCAATGAAAACCAGACATGCATTCCATGCTTATCTTAAAAAGATTGTCGCCTAGGCACCGGACCTTCTGCCTGGGAAAATCTTTCATTGGAGAATGTGATTGTTGACACCCAGCCCAGGGATGTGCTTCCATTGGAGAATCTGATTTATGACACAGCCAGGGGGCGAGGGGGGAAACAAGGTCACAGGTGACTGTAAGTTACGCGTCTCAGAGTTGGCTTCATTCGGGTTAATGCCAGATATGTTGCTCCTAATAAATCTTTGGGATTCCTTTGAAGCTTGGCCTGAGGCTCATGATTTAATTAGGGGCAATCGCTGGAATCCTGGCACTCTGTCAATTAAAGTTAAGGGGGAGACAGCAGAAAGAGGCCACGCGTTCATGCAGGGTGCCACCAGAAGCTGCGTTGTTACGTTCTCACCTGTACAAGGCTCCTGTCCATTACAACCCCTGAAAGAACTTGAGACTGGGGGCCGGCTGTTTTAATGTCTTGCAAGTTCTGCTCCCTGATCTGTCAAAGGAAAGAAAAAAAGAAAGAAAGGGGGGGGGAAACCAAACCCAAGTGTTAAATACAGATAGTCTTCAATTTACATCATGTTCTGACCCAAACCCTTTTCCAATAAAACAAACACGAACCAAAGGGAACAGAAACCTTTTAATGATTCTTACAAATCCCCGGTTAAAAGGCCGCAAACTAATTAACTTTGATAAGCGCGAGCCTTGCCAAAACTGTGCGAGTGCCAAGAGTAATAAAGTTACCTAGAAATATTTTACAACACAAGAGTCTTCAAATACCAACTAAGATACTGCAATGTCCACGAGGCTCGAGTTTCAAAACGTCTTTGCTTCCTGCAAAGAACGTTCGCTTCACAGCTGGCTTTTGTCTTCTTGAAGGAGGGGCCATTACCTTGCAGCCTTACTCCCAATCTCTGAAGGCAGCAGTCCACTCCCTAATGGTCCTGGACCCTCATCTGAGTCCTCGCTCTCCTCAGCTGTCCGCACCTGCTGCCAGCTAACCACAACACATCAGTTCATTTAGTGACCGTTTGAAGTTACGCCACTGGGGGGGGGAAGGGGACTTATGACCGTTTTCCCATGCTTTTAGGGCCACTGCAGCATCCCCATGGTCAGGTGATCAAAATTCAGATGTTTTGGCAACTGCTTCGTATTTATGACAGTTGCAATGTCCCAGGGTTGGTTATGTGATCCCCTTTTGTGACCTCCTGACAAAAGCCAAGTCCACGGGGAAGCCAGATTCACTCAACAACTCTGTTACTAATTTAGTAAGGGCAGTGATTCGCTTAACAACCGAGGTGAGCAAAGTTGTAAAACGGGGCAACCCCCCCCCCTTAACCAATGTTTCAGCCACAGAAATGTTGGGCTCCATTGTGGTCGTTAACTCAGGGACTACCTTGTAAGCCACAAGGCAGGTCCAGCCAATGAGCCGAGCTCGACCCATGGTAGTTCCAGGTCCGGCTTGTTCCAACCTGGCGAATCTACAGATCCATTCGACCCAGTTAATGCTTTTAAAAAGCACATGAAAGATCTTGGATCCTCTGCTAAGCCCTGGTTTGTTTCATTCCAAGTGGGCAAATGAAGTTCAGACCTGGATCCCACCTCTGATGTTGCCAGAATCTAATGTTCCCCTCTCCGATACAGGTGGATCCTCAACTTAGGATCACAACGGAGCCCAGAGTGGATGTTGCTGAGTGAGACATTTGTTCAGGAAGTTTCGCCTCATTCAATGTCTTTTCTTGCCACCATTGTTAAGTGAATCACCGCAGTTGGTTAAGCGGATCTGGCTTTCCCCTGTTGACTTGGCTGGTTGGAAGTTTCGCCAAAGGGGACTACGAGACCCTGTGATGGATGGTCTTAAATGCGAGTCAGGTGCCAAGGGTCTGAATTCCGGCCACCTAATCGTGGGGACGGTGCAACGGTCCGTTAAGTGCAAATAACGGTCATCAGAAGTCACTTGTTTCAGTGTCGTCGTAACTTCGGTCACTAGATGAACTTCCCGCATGGATCCCAAACCATTATCTCCAATGGCCCAGGACCTTCCTGGGCACCCATGCCCAGCGCCAGACATACAGCCCAAGGTGCACCCTGACCTCTCTGACCCCCCTGTCCAGAGGGGTCTCCGATGGGCCACGAGCCGGACGGCGCATCTCCCCATACCTCCGGAGGCAGAAGCAGACCAAAGCTATAGCACCCCTTTCCTGGCCAGTACAAACCTTGTTCCGCATTTCCTGGACCTCCTTTGGGTTCGTGTTCAAGGGAACGAAGAGGTTTGGGGGAGCCGATGAGGCAGTCCTGTGAACCTCCTCTTTAGTCCACTGTAAACAACAGCATGGAAAAAAAGGCGTGTTAAGAAAAAAAAGAGGGGGGGATTCGAAACGCTCGGCCTCTTCAGAACAGCAACATTATCACACAAGGAGATCATGCAAGATTTGACAAAGGAGAATTGAAGCAATGATTGGGGGTTTTAATTTATTTTGGGGGGCGCGTGTGGGGGACAAAAGAAGAGCTGTCCTTTGGTTTGGAACAGCTGTTTCAGCTGCATTGGGAAGGGAGTAAGAGGGTGTTCCATGATCAAACTGCCAAACCCAGGAAAAAAGGAGCATCTGGAAGGGGGTGTTGAGATTCCCCAGGAGGTCTTGGCTTCAGCCAGAGAGACCACTAAAGCAATTTAAGGTTGTAAATCAGAAGACACCCCCCCCCCTCCCAAAAGAGGTGACTCTGTGGTGCACATTACAATGTAAAACAGGGGTGTCCAACCTTGGCCACTTTTAAGACCTGTGGACTTCAGCTCCCAGAATTCCCCAGCCAGCTAAGGTTGGTCACTCCTGATGTAAAGCTTTGAGACCCGGTCACTTTTAAGACCCGTGGACTTCTCCAGAAGGATAGGGAATTCTGGGAGCTGAAGTCCACAACTCTTACACCTCTGATGCAAAGGTGTTTGTTTTTTTGGACTAAATCCCTCTTAACCCTTGCAGGGCACGATAAGCCTGCTTAGTGCCAGGCTATTCATCCAGATGGGACCAATTATGGAAATATAAAACTGGAAATGGGAGATTTTGCACTCAACCATTTTTTTTTTTTTAAGCGTCCACATCATTGATTCACTTCCCGGGTATCTTAATACATCAAAGCAAACAGAAAACCACGAGATGACAGAAATATGAAAAGCAGCATGATAATAACCAGGCTAGGTGGATTAAATTTTGTCCCATGAAGAAAAGAGTGGGCATCACCAAAGTTTAAATTCAAAACGAAACTCAAAAAAGAGAGTAGAAAGTTTCAAAACCGTTTTTTACACAGACAGATAGATGGAGCAGCCTAACACAAGAGTTTGGTGATGTCGTTGTTTTATATAAAGCTTATGGCTTCATATATTAAACAAAAAAACAAAAAACCACATCTCCGAAGCTGGAAAAAAAAAGCATTCACAAAAGGGATTTGTTTTTTTGCAGGAGGTTGCTTAATTTAACCAATAAAGTTAGCAGCTTAGAAGTCAGTTTGTCCTACCAATATGAATATGAGATTTATTCTTTCGAAAGGACATGTTTGGCCCCGTTAATAAACGACTTATTGCATGGGTAAGCTCTCAACTCTGAATCAAATCCGTTTTTGCATAAATACTGCTCCTCCCAAAAATAATTCTGAGACGGAAAGCCAGAAATAGAACTCCTTAAAAAGCAACATAATTTAAAAAAATGTTTTGCAAACATGAAGTAAAAAAATGGAATGAACATGGAGCTATGGATACTCACTGGTTCTTATCTTTTCACATAAAAATTACTCCAGCTTTTTATTAAAAGATATTTAGCAACAATGTTAAGAACCTTAGCATACTGGATTTTTAAAAAAATAAAACAAAGTTTAAAAATCAAATATACACACCAGAAGTTACTGGATAGGGATTGAAAGCTGTTCTACTATAATGTGTCAAAATCAGATTGTATTCCCATAATTTCAGTTTTCATTGGTCTTAGTTCTTCAGCTCGATTTGTGGGTGCTAAGAAAATACAAAACTCTTACGCACGTTTGATTTTGCTTATTTCCCGAAGAAGTGGTATTTCAACATCTGAACAGTAGTAGCATTTTTTTTTTAAAGGGAAGAAAAAAAAACACTCCATAATCAAAAAAATCTCCCCTCGGTTCTGTCATTAAGCGTGTATAAGAACAACTGCATTATTCCCCAGTATCCTGAAAGGCACAGACCCAAATTTGGGCTTTGCGTCAAGAGGCGCAAAGGAAAAACAGGAACTAAAGGTAACTAAATTCTCAACAGGATGCGGAATCCTAAACTGGGCTGCCCTTTGAGTAGCTCTGAAGGACGGCAGGTTTTTCTGCTCAGCGCTAGAGTCATCCAGTGTCACCCGCCAGCCACATGCACACCTGGATTTGACATCCCTATCTCCAAGCAGCTGTTAGCTATGATGGCCTTGGAGTCTTCGGGAGGCAGCGCCCGCCAAGCCCCTTCTGGACCACACCTCAGCCAAACTTTATCATGCCGCCTCCACCCGCCCATCCCCAACCCCCGGCTAAACCCCCCCCCCCAGGAAAGACTCTTCAATTACGGCCACCTACTCACATGCAACATTTCATGCAGAAGGGGAGGGGGGGTCAGCCCTGGGAGGCTTTGGGGGGGGGTGCCAGTGTGAAAAGGCAAAAGAGGGCCACATGGCTCGGCGGCTGAATCTCAACTGGGACGGAGGTGGACGGGCTGCTCAAAAGCAGACCCGTCCGTCTGGCTTTCATCTAGGAAACCTGCCTAAAGGAGTCTAAAGCCAAGGCATTTGTTGAGAAGGAGGCCAAGATGGACCCCACTGTAAGGCCAGAGTAGCCCCAATCGTGCGTTTATAAAAGTAAGCAGGGGGTTGAGCCCAGAAGAGAATACGG